CAAACTTCTTGCAAAACTAATTCAGGCGTCTTTCCTCCCACAAAGCATTTGATATGTTTTATAATAAATTTACATTTTTCCAAATCATATAAAAGTGTATTTTTTTCTTTGCTCAAAATATTACATATTAAAATTCAAAACTCTCTAACTTTTTCCTCTAAACATTCCCCATTATTTGTGAAAATTATCACAAGTATAGCCTAAGTAAACAATAATAACAAACTATGTTAATAAGTAAATATGGAAACACATGCACAGACATAGTTAGGTATAGAATTATTTTAATAAAGAACTAGAAAATAAAAAAATAATAAAAAGAAGACTTCGAATTTGTCAATACCATAATCTCTTAAGGGTTTCCGGATGATATCTTGGAACTGACCATGAAACAATAAATCAATGTTTTATCTTTTTTAATAAATCATCACAGCGAGCAGAGTCTGAGAAACCACATTTATATATCACGATTATACATATATGGGAGGTGCACGCAAAAATATAGTTAAGTATGAGATAATTTTTTTTCTTAAAAACATAATGCCATGAAGACAATAATGGCATTCCATTAAGGAGTTGAACTAAAGGAGTTTTATAGGCCTCTTATGGGTTTCCAGATGATGATGTGAAATGAATGTGAAACAATTAGCTAAAGTTTCGATCAAAACTCGCAAGTGATCAGACTCACAGAAGTTAAGTATGTGCTTTGTTGGTTCCCTCAAAATAGCTTGAAACACTTGACTCACACGCTGATTGATTATTTACTAAGGGTTAAATCATAAATAGGCTATCGATATAAGAATCTAAAAGGGAAAATAAATAATAATAATAATAATAATAATAATAAAGCAGGAACTTGTATCGCATAAATTTTCACTTTAATTCCAATAGATTGGCGAAAACTAAAAACTTGGCAGACGATAAACCCAGAAGTTTAACATTGAGTTTCGGGGTTAAAAAGTATGGTGGCGATAGAGCGATGAAGCAACAAAATAGGGAGCACAACAAAAAGGAGGAACGGGAACGAACCTTGAGAGGGTGGAGACCAGCCTTGAGATCGAGGGCGATCCGGTCTTTATCTTCGTCCACAGCCGGAGGGGGTAGATTGGTGGCGGTGGCGGTGGTTTCCTTTCTCTCTGCTACTAATTGCATGGTAAGCCATGAGCCCTACCCTTCTCTCCGACTCCGTCCATGTGATTTTCCCTTTAAAGTTTAAATGAATAAAATAATTTGGGCTTTAGTTTTAACTGAAGGCGCCATGTTTAGCTATCATATGAGGGTCTATTTCTTTAGTTATCGGATAAAAAATATCTATATTTCCATTTTTAATAAAAATATTATTTTTATTTTTTACTTTAATTTTTATTTTCAACAAATTTTTTTAAAATTCATGTCCCATCAAAATTAAGAACATAAAAACTTTATTGGACCAATGAATACAATATGAATTTTTTATTTTAAATTAAATAAATATTATTTATTATGCATAATTTTTAATTAAAATATAATTCATTAGTCTCATAACAAATGACATGTTCTATATTTTGTAAAATACACTAATTATTTAACAAATATAAACTAATATAATTTATTTTATAATATATAACGTTATACAGATCTGACTCATTAAAAAAAAAATTATTTTTATTTATCTCATCAGTAGACAAATATATTTATCTATATTTAAAACTTCTTATTTTTATAAAATTGATTTATGAATTCGAAATTGAATTGAATGTGATTAAAAATAAGTTTACACTACTAAATTGAAATCAAGTGATGAAGCGCCGTTGAAGTGCATTGTGAAATCATATATTAGGTTGGGTGCGAAATGGATTGATGTAGGCTTAGAGGTGGGTGGATAGATAGGGACGGGTGAATCAATTAATAAATTCACTACTTGTATTCCTATCATATTTTTTTAAGTCAAATTGAATTTAAAGAATTCTTTTCACGTGAGGTTCTGAGTTTACCTGACAGCGTGATTTCTTTTTATAATCATGTAACTATATTAGATGATTTATATTCGTATTTTGGTCAAAGTTATGTAATATATTTTGCAAAATAGTTATCTAGAGTATGTGTTAGTCATAGATGATAATGCGATGAAAAATTAAGATATTAAATTAACATTGTGTTTACACAACAAAACTATAAACAAATTCTTGTTACTTATGAACACTTTTCTTGTTCCTTATAAATACATTTCTTGTTGCTTACAAATTATCATTACGATACTACTTTTAGTTTTTACAACCTATAAATAGATATATCAAATAAAATATGTCCAAAATAAAATCGAAGGCAAAATTTAATTTTTGAAAATTAATAGGAGAAACCAAACAATCAAAGCCTTAAGCAAAACTCCTTGTTCTTGTTTGTAATTGCACAAATAAAACCAAACATATTCTGCGAGGCTTAAAGCACATCCATGATTCTAAATCCGATTTAGTTGATTAAGTCAATCGACTCTAGACAGTGACGATTCTAACTGAATGCTCGATGGACAACCATCAACAATAGTAGTGGCTTCTCTCCAATAGCAGAGAGTGATGCAATTTTTAAGCGGAAAAGCATAATTCAGAGACGACTTTTTTGATGATTTGAACGAACAACAACGGTCGAATAGTGATGCATGTAATCTTCTTTCTGATCTTCTCCAGGCAAACACGAATGAAAAACTCCAGACAACATTGAATTGTTTCTTCCTCATATTCGATTCCTTTGGTGTTTTGGTCTATGGTAAAACATGGTTGATTTGGGATATAATATTTTATCATATCGATATTATATTGAAAATTTGTTATAATAGATATTTATACCTGAGTATACCAATATATTGAATATCAAAATAAATTACGATATTTTTGGTATATACAAAAATATCAATTTATATATTATTATCATACCAAAAAAATTCAATAAATTTCAATAGTTTTGTTTTTTTTTTTTTTTTTTTTGGATATTGTGTATGTATATATATATTATATTTTGTATTTTTTCTCCCCTATAAGAAATTATAAATATTTAATACTACCTCCGTTCCATAAGACCGGTACCGTTTGCGTTTGCATCATTGTGTTTAATATTAAAAATACTATTATATTTATATAATTTATTTCGCAAATGTCATTGTATTTGTATTAGAAGAGACTAATAGAAATATTTTTGTATTTTTTTTCTTAATTTGTACTCCTTCCGTCCTAGATACCGTGTCTGCTACACTGTAGACACGGTATTTTAGGAGGGGTGTAATTAGTAGATAATTAAGAGTGTATTAATAAAAATAATTATTCTATAATATAAATAATTATAAATTAAAATTAAGATAACTAATTATTTTAATTAAAATTAAAAAAAAAATAAAAAATTTAAAATGAGATTAAAGTGTTTAATCATTTTCCAAAAAGGAAAGTGACATGGTATGTGGGACGGACAGAAACGACAACGTGGACATAGTATTTGGGACAGAGGGAGTACTGCGTATTAATATAATAATTAATATTAAAGATGCACATTAAAAAAAAAAAAAAAAAAAAAGCCAATCATACTCCTGTGTATCTTTGAAAAAACTATTATTTGATAAATAATATAAAAAAGGCAAAATTGTCCATAACTCACTTGTGGTTTCGAAACTCAGCGTAAATTCTCTCTCTACTTAAAAAATTGCATGACGTCCCCTTATACTTTAAAAAATGTTGCATGAAACCACTTTGTGGTTTCGAAACTCAGCATAAATCCCCATTTTACTTTAAAAAATTGCATGACGCTCACTTATACTTTCAAAAATATTGCATAAAACCCCAGATCTTACGCTGAATTTCGAAATCACATGAGAGTTATAAGCAAATTTACCTATAAAAAACTCTAAAAATATATTTTGTTTGGACATGAAAATTTAGGTAGTACAGGTTAATTATTTAGATAGCAAAATTAATTATTTAATGAATTTTAATTTTTTTTTTGAATATGTGTTTAAATATTTCTATGTTATATCTCAGTAAAATATATATGATACAAATATTATTATTATTTTTTTTGATGATATTTGTTAAACACATTATTTTTTTTTTTTGATGATATTTGTTAAGTGTGTTTAATAGTGATAAATTTATAAAAAATAAAAAGAAATTATCGATGAACAAAAAAGATAATAGATCCCGGACAAAGAGAGTATTTGTAAACAACACTAAGGCTGCTGATATATGTGGATTATATCACTATGTTCTTTCCTTGAATTGCAATTTCCAAAAAAAAATTAATTAAAACACATAATATTTTATAAAAAATCAAAAAGTAAAAAAAGAAAAATATTTAAATACTCTTTACAAAAATTTAAAAAGTCAAATATTTAATTTAATATTTAATATTAAAAATATTTTTATATTTATATAATTTTTTTTTTGTATAAATATCTTTTATATTATATATTTTATAATTTTAACACAATTACTCATACTATATGCTAAATATTATTTTTTTCTAAAAACACCGAATGAAACGAAACATATATATATATATATATATATCGACGTAAATAAACCCTAACCACATTTTGAGATCACCATTTCCCGTTCAAAGCAAATTGGACCAAATTACGATCGAATTGGGCCGAAAATAGTCTCGAATATGAATCATTCAGAAGCTATAAATCCAATAAATGCACCTGTTTGAAATGAACGCACGATCCAGTCCACCAAACACAGACAATTGCTTTCTGAGTAATTTCTTCGTCGACAACCGGGGGAGTGACCTTCGAATGCCTGTCATTTCATTTTATTGGCTGAAGTAATCCCACGAAGAAATAACCCAATGGTTTCGTTTCGGCTTTTCTTCGTATTTCTCTCTCTCTCAAGCGGCAAGGGCATCGGCAATTCTCTTTCAGGGGCAGGGGCAGGGGCAGAGTGGGTAATAATATAAATGAAATACGACTACTAATTAATAAAAATAAGAATAAGAGGAAGGAAAAGAAAAGAAAAGAAAAAGAAATGACCTACCCAACCCAACCCAGCACACCCCCACTCCCACCGCCCAATATATAATGAAGGCAGGGCAGGGCTGGGCAGGCAGGGCGTGCTTTGTGCAGACGGATGAACAAAAAGGATAGCCATATGATCCATCCATACCAACACAACACTTCGATATATTGAAACACGCAGCCCCCTCCGAAAATTCTTACCTCTTTCCTTTTCGTCCAGTTCCGCACCTCGGACTCAAATCGCAGATTCTGTTGTTAACACTTGCCCTTTCTTTCTCCTTTTCCTTGAAAAACGGTAAACCCCGTTCAAGGTAACAATAATATGCCATGAGTATTTTCACTGAAGATCTGTTGTTGATGGGTTGATTGGATTGGATTCTTAACTAGTTTTGTCCGTATTTTGTCTTCGATTCTCCTGTTTCTTCTGTTTCTGTGATACGATCTGTATTTTTGGCTGTGTGAATTCCTCATTTTTATTTACCATGTACTGTTATTTTTATTAAATGCACGATGGCTGTCTACCATTCAAGCTTCTTTGAATTATCGGAAACTCAGTCGATTTATTTCTTCGATTATGTATGTATGTATGTATATATATATTTGTTTGTCTGATCTTATTTCCATCTATCTGCTTGTTTTTTAAGAGAATTTCTTATAAGGATTTCGCACCTGGCCTTTTTGTATAGGTTACAATTCATGATTTTAAGTAACTGTAGATATTGGCGATTCTGTTCTTGTTTTCTTCTGTTTTCTCCTTTCCGTAACCGGTTTTTCGATGATATATTCATCTATGCCCTACCTTTTGTTTTTAACATCCTACTTTGAAGCACGCGTTCAAGTTAGATCGACATCACCGTCATTCACTGGACGTTTTTCTAAAAGTCTTACCCTTTATACAGACATTCTTTAAACTCATGTCCTTTTGTCATGCTGGCTTGATTTATTTGTCAAATTATTGTTTGTAATATTTTCTGATATGTTTAATTTTATGCCTTGCCGATTTGATTCCTGTCTTGATAAAGCAGAATCTTATGTTCTTCATGGCTATTCTTACGTGAAGATTCTGAGCGCAAGGGGGGCTGTGAGTGTGAGGTGAGTTGCATGGGTGAGGATGCCAGAATTGCGTAGCGGAGCACGGAGATCAAAACGGCTTGGTGATCTCCAGCCTGCCCCTCAGCCCACCAATCAAGAAGAAAATTTTCTTGCACCTGCTCAGAATAGAACCAGGAGGAGGGGAAGAGGGAGAGGCAATGCAACAGCTGTAGCAAAAGGACCTTCTGCAGCAACACCCACTAGACCAACTGCCGCAGGAAGAGGCAGAGGGGTTAGGTTGATAGATTTAGACCCAGAGCCACCTTGTGAGGTTCTTCCTCAAGCTGTTGGTGTTGGTGCTGGGGCTGGAACTGCGGAACCTGCTTATAATAGAATAGAGGGAGTCGCAGATAAGGAAATTGCCATGGATGGTGGGAGCGCTGATAAAGTAGTCGGAGTTGAAGAAGAAGCCAGTACTACTCCGGTGCCCGAGAGGGTAATCTTTCTTTTTCTTTATATCCTCATTCTTTTTTTATTAAGCTGCTTGGTATTATGAGTGCAGTTGATATGGTTCTTGGTTTTTCCTAGTTTTTGTTATTAAGATATTTCAGTTTATTCAACTTTGTTTGTTGGGGACAGGTGCAAGTGGGCAATTCTCCAATGTATAAAACAGAAAGGAAATTAGGTAAGGGTGGATTTGGCCAAGTTTACGTTGGCAGAAGGGTTAGTGGTGGCACAGAAAGAACGGGACCAGATGCAATTGAGGTGTCATTCGCAGATAACTATTGATAGTTGGAATAATCAGTAATACTATATCTTGCTGTTAAACTTAATTAAAATATTGTCTTGTGTAGGTAGCATTGAAGTTTGAACACCGAAATAGCAAGGGTTGCAATTATGGCCCTCCATATGAGTGGCAGGTGTACAAGTAAGTCTGTATTATGTTTTGAGGGCATTCTAATTCTTCTTATTTTCAAATGCTCATGTTGGTTTTTGTCTTGTTATATTCAAAGCACCCTGAATGGATGTTATGGAATCCCATGGGTGCACTATAAGGGTCGTCAAGGAGATTTTTACATTCTGGTCAGTTTTGATTACTTTCAGGTAGCCTTAAAAAATTTCTTGTTTTATTACTAATGAATAAATCTTCAGGTAATGGACATGCTTGGGCCCAGTCTTTGGGATGTTTGGAACTCTTTGGGACAGTCGTAAGATCCGCTTCCTTATCTTTAATCCTACAATTCCTATTGATCACACTATCTCTGGCACGGAATCTGGCCAAACAAATCTCCATTATATTTATATTATCCTTTAATACGACATGTTTCCTTGTTTGATGTTGAACACTTTAAACAGGATGTCTCCAAATATGGTTGCCTGCATTGCAGCTGAAGCTATTTCGATTCTTGAAAAGCTTCATATGAAGGGGTAAAACATCCTCATTCTTTTTACCATCACATTTAAAATAAGCTTAGTTGAAACAGTACGACCCTTATAATCTTGGTTTATATATTTTGCTTCTGAATTGCCTCTATCTTTTCAGTACATATTGAATCATTAATTTATCATTTATCCAGATTTGTGCATGGAGATGTAAAACCAGAGAATTTTTTACTGGGTCAGCCTGGAACAGCTGATGAGAAGAAGCTATTTCTTATTGATCTTGGTTTGGGTATGATGCTCTACTCTATTCTTTTTTTTTCCCCTTTTAATCATTGATTGCCCATGCTTCTAATCTTTTGATATGCAGCTTCCAGGTGGAAAGATGCATCATCTGGTCAGCATGTTGACTATGATCAAAGACCAGATATATTCAGGTTTGTGAATTTTGCTTTGAAAAAAGTTGTTGGATGTTTCTTTCTCAGTTGTGATTAATAAACCCTGAATGCTCCCAGAGGCACAATAAGGTATGCAAGTGTGCATGCACACTTGGGTCGCACTGGAAGTCGGAGGGATGATCTTGAATCTCTGGCATACACACTGATATTTCTCATAAAGGGAAGGTTACCATGGCAAGGTTATCAGGTGATTGGCTGGATTGCTTCTTATTCATCTGGAATTTATTTCAAATTAGACTTATCATGTTCTTCCTAACGTTTGGTGATGGCAGGGCGACAACAAGAGTTTTTTAGTATGCAAAAAGAAGATGGCGACTTCTCCAGAATTGATGTGTTGCTTTTGCCCTGCTCCATTCAAACAGTTTCTTGAGGCTGTTACTAATATGAAGTTTGATGAGGAGCCAAATTACTCTAAGCTGATCTCCTTTTTTGAAAGTCTCATTGAACCATGCACGACACTGAGACCAATTAGAATTGATGGGGCTCTTAAGGTAGAATAAAAGCTCTTTGTAATTCTGCTATTCGAGTAGGCATAAATCTTTATTGACATCCGATGACTTTGTGAGTGTTACCTGTTTTTATGGATATTGGCACCTTGGGAGTCTTGCAATGCAGGTTACAAGCGCCAACAGAGCCAACCTCACACAAGAAACATACCAGTGCTTAACAAATGGATTTTAATCTCGTTTCATTTGTATGGACTTATATTTAACTTCCATCTCTTGTATAGGTTGGCCAAAAGCGTGGGAGATTACTTATTAACTTGGAAGAGGATGAACAACCAAAGAAGAAAGTACGCCTGGGTAGTCCTGCTACGCAGTGGATTTCTGTGTATAATGCACGTCGGCCCATGAAGCAAAGGTCACTCACTAATCATACATATTATTCTGCTGAAACTTCCCGCTAGTATGCTACAAATTTTTTAGTGTAATTTTCTCTAAGGCGCAAGCAAACCCCACAAATATGTTGAGAAAATGATAATAGAAATGAATTATCTTATTTAATTCTATGAAAATATTTTTAAGGACCGTGTGAATAGAGAACCTACCAATGAACCCTGCTATAGTCTTATTATTTGATAAGGTATTCAGTGAGATTGTCCCCTGCTTTTCTATTAAAATAATCTAGAAATTATGATGATTTTGCATAAGGGCTGTAATCCAGCTTACAAGGTGGGTTTGCTTTGGCTCTTTCTAGAATTTTATCCTGTCTTTTTCTCAAAGCGTTGGTTTAATATGAATATGGATGCAAGCTCCAAGCTATAACTAAACTGGAGCTAGCATAAGATTTTAGTTTTTTATGAAACAGCATTCTAGTTGGAATGAATGTATTTGTTGGCATTTCACAAGAACAATAAAGGCATCCTTACTTAACAAATTTGTTGCTGAATTGTAATAGAGCTAAAAGGATCTCCACAAATATTCAAAGGCCATTTGGCTTATTTTCTAGTGATAACATGGATGTATTTACACTTGTGTGTTCTTCACATTGTTGCTCTTCTTCATTGTGAGCACTTATTTGGTTTCTTTATTAGATTCTACTATTTTTGAAATCCTATGCCACAAGCTCATACATACTACTGAAGCTAACATTTCAATCAAAGAAAAGTAAGCAAAATGAAAAAGAATAAAGCGAATGATATATTTGCTAATAATTTAAGAAGTATTTGTCCTTTTGAATGACTGATGACATGTTTCGAAGGCTTTTCCCTTTTGTATGATAGTTAGGCTGGTCGAACTTGCACAGCTCTAAATGAAGATTTTACTTTTACTTTTGTGGCTGGAGAAAATTTAAACATTCGCAATGTGCAAATTAACATTTCATGGATATGGTTGGGCAATTTATTAACTTGACGAAAATTAGAGAATTTGACATAATTCCAACTAGTATACATTGTGCACACCACTAAGCAATTTAACCATCTCCTTTCACGCACAATAGGATGGAAGTTTGGTTGTGCATGTTAACTTATGGAAGATCTTTGAGGAATTTGAATATCTTTATTAGATTCCAGGGTGTATTGGATGTGTTTCCTTAACCAGTTCTGTATAATTTGCCATATTTTTTCTTCCATAGCAGTCATTACATCAAAGAACTGATTCATTTTTAAATCCTAGCACTTCCAAAACACCAAACCACTCCCAAACACATCCAAAGAAAACCTAATTGATGCTTAGATACTTAATTGTTTAAATATTGCTGAAAATCGGAACTAAGTGTAATTTGGCTCTCATCTCACAAGTGATGCATTGTGCGAAATTGAGTTGACCAGAAATATTCCTATTTTGCATGTATATATTTCTCAATCCTAGTGCTTACTCCCTCTATAATTATTTGTGTGGTATAACTTCATTTTATTTGGTGTTTTGTTTTTTTTGGTAGATACCACTATAATGTTGCAGATTCAAGACTCCATCAGCATGTCGAGAAGGGTAATGAAGATGGCTTGTATATTAGCTGTGTGGCTTCTGCTGCTAATCTTTGGGCCTTGATCATGGATGCGGGAACAGGTTTCTCGTCACAGGTCTATGAGCTTTCAGCTGTTTTTCTTCACAAGGTTAGGCATCTTGCTTATATTTGGTACCATTAATTTGTGATATCACCCTTCAAGTTGGACATACTTGGCCATCTGAATGATAGTATCGTTTGCTTTATGTCAGGATTGGATTATGGAACAATGGGAAAAAAACTATTACATCAGTTCTATAGCTGGTGCAGCTAATGGGAGTTCATTGGTTGTTATGTCTAAAGGTTGGTCGAAGTTACTCTATTCAGCATGTTCTTCGTGTGTGGAATCTCTGTCCCTCATCCTGCCCATAGTTTCACATTTTTTATTATGATATTCTATTCTTCAGTGCATTCCCATCTGAAAAATGCACAATGTGCATAACTGAAGCTGTGAAGGCTGATGTTGCAATAATCATATGTGATAGGCTAATGATATGGTATGATAATTTTGGCTAGGAACTCCATACACCCAACAGTCTTATAAAGTTAGTGAATCATTTCCATTCAAGTGGATTAATAAAAAGTGGAAAGAAGGCTTTCATGTTACTTCCATGACTACAGCTGGCAGTCGCTGGGGTGTAGTAATGTCCAGAAATTCCGGATATTCAGAGCAGGTAAGGGTTTTATGTGTATCGGTTAAGACATTTCTTTTTCTTTTTGATTTTTTATATATATAATATATATGTGCAAATGAAATATTCCTTAAGCGGTCTTCACTGGTTTGTCTGGGTCTTAGGTTGTTGAGCTTGATTTTCTCTATCCTAGTGAGGGAATCCATCGCAGATGGGAAAGTGGGTATAGAATAACTTCAATGGCTGCTACTGCTGATCAAGCAGCTTTCATACTTAGCATTCCCAGACGGAAGATGGTGGATGAGACACAGGAGACTCTTCGCACGTCAGCATTTCCAAGCAACCATGTGAAGGTACACTGGCTAAGCTTCTCTCAACCTTTTCTATAAACATCATGTCAGGAGTTTAATGCCTAGTAGGGTGAGAGCAATTATTTTGGTTGATGTCTTCCATACTGTTCTGTAGTTTACATTAAAAAGCTGTGGATGAGAAACATTCAAATAGGACAATAGGGTCTGTGTTATTGTTTGCAAATTATTTTCTCCAAAGTTGTAAGTAGCAATGTGCAGCTGGCTGATTAGAGCTTCCCATTTTGTATTACAGGAAAAGTGGTCCAAGAATCTCTACATTGCATCAATATGTTATGGTCGTACTGTCTGTTGAAGCTGTTGAGTACCTGTATTTGTTTTGAAGATGGGGTCAAAATTTCAAAAGCTGAGATCCTCAGCTTTAGATCTCATACACTTGGGCAAAATTAAGCGAGTCTGGATGACCGCCTTTTATAGCCTGTAAAAATTACCTCTTGTGTTCTCTTTTAAATGTGACAAGTACCCTGGGAAAAGATTATGTAACTGGCTAGTGGGTGGGACATAAGCTGGGGGTGACAAAATATTATTATGTTGTGAGCCTATGTTTTTGCACGGGGAATTGTAATGGGAGTCGAGTTCTTAAGTCTTTGATCCCTGGCTTGTAATATTATGAAATTCCAATTGTGGGGAGAAGTATGTGGATGCTATTCTATCTGGTGTGGATGTGGTTGGGTTGATGCTGAGAGATTGATTGCATCGATCAAATATTTAGGTTCGACGCAGCATCTATTTGTTTTGTTTTGTAAGGCTTGGTTGCTTTTAAAAAAACAGTTTCTACATGTTTGCATTGATTTTTGTCCAAAAAATAAGCAAAAGATTTATTTTTTAAGCTAATCCAGATGAGTCTAACGAGGGTTTGGATAATAATTTTTTTCAAATTTATTTAACAAATTTTAGTTATTGAATAATTTTTAGTTGTTTATCAATAAAAAGTCAATTGTTTGATAAATTAGTTTTTTTTAAATAATTTATCGGCTTCAAAAAATTAATTTATGATAAATTATATAACCTAATTTTAGAATAATTTTTATATTTTAATTTTCTTTAATTTTATTTTTTAAAAATTATTATTTATTTCACAATTTTAAATAATTAATAACTAAAAATTTTAATATTTTTAAATCTAAAATAACATAAATGAAAATTTTAAAAAATAAAATATAAATATCTCCACTCATCATTTTAATATAAACTATTAATATTATAATTTTACTAAATATTTTAATACAGCCAACCAAGCAAAGTTCATTTTATTTTTTAAAAAATATTAAATTAAATATTTATTTTTTATTTATTATATATTACTCTAAAATTTATTTGTACATTTAAATATCATATCATGTCAATATTTTATATCATATTCAATAATTATTTTAATTCAAAATTTTATTATTAAGAACAAAACCAAATAAGTAAACACACATTATGCTTTTTGTAATTAAGTAAACGAGATTGCACAGTAAAATATAACAATAAATATTGTACAACTTTTAACATAATACTCCATATACTACTTAGTATATAATTTACCCTAATAAAAATAAAGCAATTAGCGCAGAGAGAGATGGTGTTCAACAGCCCCTTCGTCGTGGGGGTGGCGAGGGTATCGGCGGATGCCTGCCAATACATCGCGTGCAACCCAGAACGGTTGGGTAGCGATCAGGTCCTCTACCTCCTCTTCTGCTTCCCCTTTCAGCAGCTCCACCGCCTCGCCCTTTGTCTGTGGACGTTCTTATGTCCCCCTTCCCCCAACAACCCTTATCTCACCTCTTCTTCATCCCTCGATTCTGCTGATATGGAGGAAGAATCCCACTCTGATTGAATGTCTGTGGAACCCTAATACCTTATAAGTTTCTCTATTTTCCTTTTTCCTATTATTTTTTTTCCATCATTATTGTTAGTAGTAACTTAGTGTTGGTCTTTATATCATGTTTTAAGGCGTAGAGAATACATTCAAGGCTTCGTTCCTGAGCACACGAGGAGCTCACATGATCTGATGCCAAGCACAAAACTATGTATATGAAAAATAGTAACATCACAAGGTACTCGCTGCCTTGGCTTAAGCACCTATGTTTCTCTGATGATTTCTACCCTTTGTTAGATCATACAGGTTGTCTGTGTATCTTGATATTTTGAAGATCTATGTAAGCACGGTTTTGTGATAATTTTTATTGTCATTTCTTGATCTTCATCGGGTGAAATAAGGAGATTTTTAGAACACCTTATTATTGCGTGATTGTGAATTAGTTTACATTGTGATTTTATGAATGAATAGAAAATGATAAATATTGACTTAATTTCTACTGCTAACTTGTATGAATTATACATCATACAAGCTGCTGTGTCATTCAAATGGTCTGCACTTGAATTGACTTCTTTGCCACATCAAACTTGCTGACAATACTGGGTTAAATATTGATTTGTACGCAAGTTAAGTCAGATTTTCATTTCCTCGAAAATGGCCTATTCATGTAGACAAATTTAGATCCCCCGATGTCCCATTTCCATTGTTAGGGCACTTGCAGGATGAAAGGAAGCACTGTGGACCTGGGAGGCCATGTCCACTTGAGCTGAGCATCCATTACAACCTTTCCCAACCAACCAACCGTTATGTGGATTTTCATCTAGATCCCCATGTCCTCAGCCACCAGAATTTCTCTGCTTGTGATTGCTGGTTCGCACCCATTTCTTATCATTATGCATGAATTTCTTGTTCCCACTGTATGAAGTCAATAATAAAAGATGCTACATTTGGACTGCTTTTGTAGTTGAATGTACATGGAATTAATTAAGTTATTCCAATTGTCACGGGTCAAGGCAGCACTGACAACCTATTTTCCTTGTGGTACTGATGAGCAGTAGATATAAAGATGGTGCATTGCTGTTCTATTTGGATTCTTTAGTTACTACTTGCCAAACATTTGATATCATGATTTCCATGGTTACATGAGTGGGAGGGAATTGTAATGGTGATGGTTAATGACGGAGAACATTTATTTTGTTTTTTATGGTAAGTGGTGTATTGCACTCACTTTGTCATTACAAGTCTAGGAAAGATTATGAGATTTCTAGGTGTCAATTTGTAGGTGTTTGTGCTGATCATAATGATGCTAACCTAAATAATGATGTGCTAGGGCTCTCGGAGGGGGAATATTTTATGATTGTTCATCAAGCTAATTTTAGAACAACTTTTGGTTACTCGGATCTTGACTTTGTGATTTACTTGACTCATGGTATTGAGTTTGACTTGTCAGAATTTGGGTTGTTGATTCCTGTCTAGGCAATTTAAGCATTGTATCAATGAAACATATCAGTCCTAACTGATTGTTGCCCTTCACCAGAACAAGCAGATGCGTATAGGAGAGGCCTTCTATAGGTGTCGCAACAACGTCCCACAAATTAAATCTTTTGAGTGTTCCATAACCTGCACCTCTTGATGCCTTTGTCAATAGTAAAAGAAGTCTGGATATAATCTTGGAATGTAACTTGTTAATGATCTGCAAAATTGAGGTGGTATAGCCGTATTTGTATTACGTGCTATAGTCACTGTGTTTGCATTATGCATATCTACATAACTTCAAGAAGCATGTTTCTGTTTCTCTGTGGATTGAACTTATGATATTTAATATAAGCATCAGTAGTAGGGTGGTTGGATGCATCCGAATGTAGAGGTATATGTATATCTTTCGAGAAGCCTGATAAAATCTCAACTGAGATTTATGTACCAGCATAGCATATTCATGAAACTACTATCTTGAGTTTGGCTGGTCAAATAATGGTAACGTGCAATGTGAATCCAAAAGAGAATGAAGAATGCTATTGCATTCTGATTCATATTCGTGTTTTGCTGACACCAGTCATAGTTTCTTGAATTTTATTAGAAATAGGATAAGCACTTGCCCTTTTGGTGCCTTCTCTGGAAGCAGAATCGTCTACTAGGGAGACACATTTGTTTGTTTGCCTCTTGAATTTTATGAGAATTATTTTTACTTCTCTGTAAAGAAAAATGGTACTCCTTCCACTGAAGGATTTATATTGTCAATGGTGTTGTGTGTGGGTTTGTTTAAATGGAAATGATACTCCTTCCACCCAAGGTTTAGTATTATTGATAATTATTGTGTGCACTGCTACGTGTCCTTGCTGGTTTTGCTTGCTGTAACCGGCTAGTGTTGCTCTCTTTAAGAAGTTCAAAATCAGCCGTGGAATGTAATTCAACAATAGTACACATAGATAGCATAAGAGCTGCTGCATATGACTGATGGTTTTTAAACAATACGAAGAAGGATTGGACTGAGGGGTGCAAAGTGCAACCAGAACCGTCTATACATTTGTAGGCTCTTTTGTTGCTGAGATAGTATTTGTTCAGTCCAGCCGCCATTCCAGTCCCTGTTACAGGGTTTGATTGGATGTAATTTGCTAGTTTGATGGATTGTAAAAATTTAGTTGAATAATATTTTGTTTTAATGTAAATGTGGGACAACCACAACCGATAGCATATTTATATGTACTAGACAATATATGAAATATAAATATCCAGAACATTAGACATATATTTACAACGTACATATAAAAGAGGCACACATTAAAATGTTTGTTATATATTTATATGTTATTTATAGAACTTTTATATGCTAATTGAGATAATCAGTATGATGTTGATAAATTTCCAATAAGCACTATAATTGAAGTGGCTATACAATAATTTTTTAATGTAATTTTATTAAGTAAAACATAAATATTGATTTGATATTTTTAAGTGAAAAAATAGATTATAAGTTGTATTTTATTTCTTCTAAAATCTGTTAGTAAAGTAAAGCATGAAATACAAGATGGCACTGTATCCTATAAAAAAGGAAGACAATATATACACTCTCTGTGAGACGTCTTGTTGGGAATTGTATGGGAATTAAAAAATAATAATATAATTAAAAGTGGGTATAAAGTAGAATATAAAAGACTAGAAATACTTTTGTTTTTTTTTAAGATTTTAAAAAATAGGTTAGAGTAATAATTAGGAGTACTTTAGAAAAGTAGGAATAATTTTATTATAAAATAAGAGAATAAGACGATTGTTTTGAGACGAATAAAATAAAAAAATTGTTTTGAGACGAATAAAATAAAAAAATAAGACAATTCTTTTGGAATTTTGTAGGCTTCAAGGCTCAAAATTTGATGTTTAATATATGGCTCAATCCAAGCTCGTCAATTCTTTGCCCATTAATTCATTTATAGTAATTAGAGTCCAAAATTCTTTTCAACATATTTGCATTGCCGATATGGAATAGAATTCTTTTGCCTTTATCTCAATTTTTCTCTTCTTTCCGTTTCACTTTGGATTTTCTGTAGATGGCGATTTGAGCGCGAAACCATTGCTGCGGGAACACCGAACAGCCTCTGACACTTAATATGTAGGTTCTCTTCTTTTCTTTCCATTTTCATTTCACTTACCAAACAAAATTCTAACAAAATCTGCTCACCTTTTATCTCTTTGCTTTTACTCCCTTCTCGTTCATCTCTCCCCATTTCAATTCTACAACTTCAGCTCTTTCATCAACCAAAAATCTTTCTCAAACTTACCGATAGCACAGGGAATCTTGCTCGTCGACGGACTACGTATGGTCAGCGCCAAGTTGTTGTTATTGAACGGCATATTTCACCGGGCGGGCGCAGGAACTTGGGTGGAGGCGAAGAAGGAACTTGGGTGGAGGTGAAGAAGAA